CAACTACCAATACTAGAGTAAATATTCAAAACAAAAATTCCCTCTACCCACCACGCCACCAATGCCCCATAAAGCAAGTAAATTACCCTCATCACACAGCACAACTGTATTAAAAAACTAAATTGTTTAAAAATAATTACAAATTAACCTAAAAGTAAAAACTTTAGTCTTATAAACAAAAAAGAAAAAGAGCAAGTAACACATGCTAAAAAAGCTCCACCATCCAACCAACTGCCAACAAAAAAACACACTGCACTCTTTTTACTAATAGTTCTTGTTGCATTATAAAAATAAATTGAAAGTAATAACCAGCCATATAAATCCCCACACAACAAGTTACAAAAGCTACTAAAAGAAAAAGTAGATCAAGCCAACTCACTAAACTCAAAGCAATTCAATTAGCCCTAAAAATAACTAAAAAACAAAGTACCCAAAGCTCTACTTCTACACTAATTCATAAATTGTAGCCAATGCTCTACAAGAATAGTTTAAAAAGTAGAAAAAAGCTAATTAGCAGCATAAAAAATCCAATTTAAGCTGTGAAAGAATAAAAAGATAACACTACCAAAATAAAGAAACTACCTATAAAAGTCCACCATATAAATACCCATATCCCCAAAAATAAAACTAATAAAAAGCACCAAAACAACAAGCAAATCAATCAAGCTACAAAGGTAGAAGTGTCAAAAATAGACTTAAATTAACAACACAAAAAAGTTGCTCCTAGCTAAATAAGCTCATAATGCCTAGTCATCAAAATAAAAATGCCACTTACAGAAACAAAACCAAAAAATAAATTTAACCATAAACAATATTTCTTAAGTTATCCATAACTGTAAAACATGTGCTAAAATCAAGCAAGCCAAGCAATTAAACCCCCTATAATATAGTAAGTAATAGTCCATATTTTAAGAAGCCTAGCAAATTAACTCCATCACACTACTCTAAACACGCCAAAGTAAACACTACATGCTCACAACAGTAAAAACCACCACTAGATAGCTACAGACCTACCCTGTGCCTTGCACTACAGCCCATAACACCATCCTAAGCCTTAAAAAGCAATTCCTTTAAAAACATAATACCCTTAAAAAATTAAATCAAACAATTTTACTCATTTCAAAAACAACTTTATCAAAACCTAGTCTAAAGAACATAACATTAAGTGTACCACATCCCCTACCATGCACCCGCTGCAAACACAATGAAAAAAATACAATAAACTATTTAAAAACACCAGTGTTTAAAAAATCTTAAAAAATCCTTCAAATATTAAAAACAGCATCTAACAAAAGTTAGTTAGTTAACACCCAAAGCTCCACCAACCAAACAAGCCCTACCCAGTCTAAACCTCTACATACAGTCAACAAAAACAAAATCCCAATAATGCATGTCAAAAGCTTATTAAAAAAAATTAAATTAATTCTGCCTTAAATACAAACCAATTCCTAAAATAGTCTTTACTCAAAAACCAAGTTACACATAATAAATAATACAAAAAAATAAAGCAACACAGTACATACCTCAAAAAATCTAATTATTAAATAAAAATTTAATATAATATAAATAATAAATATTTATGTAAGTATAAATATCACTATTTACTAAATTTTATTACCATTATCTATATATAGCTATATACTATATGTATAATCTATATACTATATATATAATGTATGTGTTTATAGAGTTAAAATACATATTCATTTTAATAATAAGATGACAATATGAAAATAAAGAGTAGAATGTCCTAAAGTAACTTTATAATACTTAGATCCCCTTTCATCTATTTAGCCCAAAAATAAGTTTTGCACCTTTAAAACTAATTCTAAGAGTAAAAAAGAGGGGGAAAAAAGCACAAAGTTTATTTTCAAAAACTACACTAACTTCTCCACATTGCTACTCCTAAACTATGTTAACTGCAACTATACAAACAACAAGACAGAGCTTTCCATCACTTTTAATTAGGTTTTAGCTAACTAAAGCAAAAATAATTCCCTAAACTATAGTTTCTCTTTTTCTTAGAACTATTTAAACCTACTGTAAACACCTAAAAAAGCACCAACAGGTCACACCTGTAGCCCACCAAATCAAGGCTGACCCACAACATTTCCAACACCAAAAAGACCAATAAAAGACTGAATAAGCCAAACTACAAGCCACAAAGAAAACTTTCTAAACTTATCATCTCTTTTAGAGCAATAAAATATTTTATTGTTCAATATTATTCATTTTTTATACTAAAATATATTTTGCCTATTAAAGAAACGATTTTTCCACTTTTCTCCAAAAAATCTTTTCCCAAACCAATTAAGACTTAATCTAAGGACTTAATCTTAAATCTGTTTTCTAAAAAAAAAAAAAAAAAACCCTTTCAAATTTTTTACCAAATTTGCCCTAAACCAAAACAAACACAACAAGTAATGAAATTACACCTTGGTTACTGACTGTCTACTTACACTATGTAAACTTCTTCCCTCAAAGGCTTTTTCTCTGCTCTCATTCCTGTCTAATTCTCTACCTTCCTAGTTTCCATCCAACATAATATGATCATAGAATGTCTTGGGTTGGAAGAAACCTTAAAAACTATCTAATTCCAACTCTCCTGCCCCGGGCAGGGACATCTTTCAGTGCAGCACAGCAAGTTGCTCAGAGCTCCATCTAACCTGGCCTGGAACTCTTCCAGGGATGGGGCATCCACAACTTCCTTGGGCAACTTGTTCCAGTGCCTCACCAACACAACAGTAAAGGATTTCTTCCTAACACCTAATCCAAACCTATTCTCTTCAGTTTGAAGCCATTCTCCCAAATCCCATCACTACATGATATTAAAAAAAGTCTCTCATCGGTCTTCTTGTCTTCCAGTACTGAAGGGAACTAGGTCATTCTGAAGCCTTCTCTTCTTCAGGCTGAACAATCCCAACTCTCTTAGCTTTTCATCATAGCATTTTCTCTTTTTTTTCCTAAAAGCTCCATCCCTCTGATCATCTTCGTAACCTTCCTTTCGACTCACTCTAATAGGTCCTTTCTGGCTTGGGGGGCCCAGAGCTGGATGCAGCCCTCCAGATGGGATCTCAGTAGAGCAAAGCAGAGGGTCAGAATCACGTCCCTCAGCCTGCTGGCCATGCTTAATTTGATGCAGCCAAAGACACATTTGGCTCTCTGGGCTGCAAGCACACATTCTTGGGTCCTGTCCAGACTCTCATCCATCAACACCCCCTATTCTTTTTTGGCAGAACTGCTCTCAATCTGTTCATCCCCCAGCCTGAGCCAGAGGCAGCATCTTACTCTTGGTTTTATTAAACTCCATGGGATTCCCACAGGACCACTTCTTGAGTTTGTCCAGGTTCCCCTGGATGACATCCTGTTCTTCAGGTGTGTCAACTGTACCACCCAGCTTGGTGTCATCTGCAAATCTGCTGAAGTTGCATTGGATCCCAGAGTCCATTGGGACTGAGCCATTGACTACTACTACATTCATCCAACCAATTTCTTATCTACTTAAAAGTTCTCTCATCAAATACATCTCCATCCACTCACACCCAATAGCTCAGATCCCTCTCTTCCCTCTCTCTAAGGAGCGAAATAAAGTGAGAGCTGAGAAACCTGTTTTATGTATTGGTTTGCAAGTAAATATTGAAATGTGTGCGCAGGCCTTGCTGTAAAAGGAGACGGACTGGGGGGGAGAAGGGGGATCACATTTTTCACTTTCACTTCACTTTCAATTCTTATTCCATCCTTACTTCTTGCTTGGTGCATTTCTACACAATACATGGGCTGTGTGAGAGATCCTGCTTCACTGAGCATCTTCAGTAAACAGAAGATTTCAAGAGCCATCTGGCTGTCCTGTTCTACAACTTGTGGCAATATGATGTCAAAAAGGGACTTTGCAGATGTATGATATACCAGTGGATTAACAATGCCATTTTAATGCAGAAATATCTTCAGGGTGAAGACCTTGTATTCATTTCTCAATAGCAACATGCACAAAACAAGAATTAAAAGCATCTAAATTAATAAAACTCCAGACTGTGCACTTTAAGTGGTGCAATTTTGAAAAAGGAATTTGTTGTACTTAAAATATGATCCTCATCTACCTTTAACGCATATTTGAACCACAAAACTGTTAGATTCTAGTTAGGGTCTAATGCACAAGCTCTGGCACTTCTAGTCACAGGAAGTTAATATCTTGCTCTGAACATTGTCCCGTGAGAGGAATCCACCAAGGGTGAAACAGAATATCTGGCCCACATCTGGCCTGGCTGAATTCCGTATCTTCTCTGTTGCAGTCCGGTAGAAAAATTACAAAAGAAAGGCCTCACAAAATCAGGCCTGCTCTGTTAGATCAATGGCTGGCCTGTCATTTCCTCTAAACAAAGCTAGTACTTTGCAAGTTCCCTTCTGCAAATAGTCCTGGTATGAATAGTTTGTTAACATAACAATCTATTCCTGGGTGAAAAATAACTAGCACCTGCATAAACATTAAATCTGTCCCATGAGAATCAGTGAAGAAAATATGTAAACAATTTAAGAATAGAGAGATTTGATGGACAAGTAAAATACCTCTTACTAACCAACAGAGTAATTGGCAAGAAAGCTACTAACCAATTGGAGTCACACACAAGGTCTGTAAAACTGTATAAAAATGAGTTATGTGAATAAAGAAGGGCTCTTCCTGCATGAAGAAAATGGATTCTCATGTCTTTTGTTCCAATATCTGGTGACACTGACATGATAATGGGAGCCGATGGCTGATCCTGCCGCAAAAAACAACACAAACCAAGCCAAAACGGGAACACAATACGCAAAGTCGCGAGTGAACAGCCTGCAGCGAAAGAGCTGATTGATTGCAGACAAATGCCCTGCTGTGAGCCACAGCCTGCAGTGAGACGAAACTCAGAAACTACGAATATACGAAGTAGCAAAAAGCTACAGCTACGTCCAGCCGTGAGATGGCATGAAATAAGCAAGAAAAGAACCAACCGGTAGAGCGAGACCTGAGCAGTGAGTCCACAGGGCCACAGGTCGGCAAGGGACGCACCGAAACAAATACAGCTCCTGGGAAGTGCTTCCTGGGAGAGCAGACAGTGACTGAACCGCAGAATACAGCATGGTCTGAAGAACCGGGATATAGGGGACACGTGACCAGCGAGCTGCAGAGGCGCAGCCATGAGTTATGGGAGAGAATACAGCCACATGAGAACCAAGGAGACAGAGTCCAAAAAGAGTCGTGGGAAAATACGCTGTGGAATACCCGTGGCACGGAGCGTACACGAATGTACATGAACGGACACACGTGTGAGGAAGCGTGGCTGCGGAGAGCAGTCCGGACTTTGAGTTGACAGAGGTAAAAATACCGGGGAGAAATACAGTGCAAATCTCCCATGAGAATAAAGTTATAGTACATACACAGGTCAGTATACTGGGAAAAGGAGAGGAGAAAAAACACGTTAAGTATATGCTGATACCTCTTTTATTGTGCTGTGTAGTCCAGGGGCTGGCCCCTGATTTGATGAGTGTGTTTAGTGGAGTTCAAGCTCGTGCTCCGATTTTTGCTCCCTTCTTTTACACACTCCAGCAGCCTGGCTCAACCGACCTTTGCGGCATGGCTGCCGGCCGACTGGGAGGTGTCCCAGGCTCAACCGGCAGCTGGGTTCTAGCAGCGGCAATCCATTACACACCGAGCCCAGGAAAAACAAAGGACAAGGTGCCTGGATATGGAACTGGGAGCTGTTTGCACTGGGGGGTTGCCACAAGTGGCCCAGCCCCGCTGCTCCCGCTCCGTTTTGGCAGTACAAGGTTTTTCCAGGTGGACATGCAAACTTTCCCCTTCCTCACTAACAAGTCATTCACACCGAAAATACTTAAGTAACATCAGCGGGCGGGCGCCCTGGGGAAACCCACTCATTCTTACATATTGTCTTTCCTTGTAAAATATTTTGTTAAGTAACGGAATTAAGTCACAAAAAATCCACCTAATTTGGAAGAATAAAAGATTAGCTTTTTCCACCCGCCGGGCAGCCGAATTCCTGCTGTGGGTATTTGGGAGGATGGAAACTGAGTGCAGACTTTTTATTCTTTAGCATCGTTTTATTCTTTAGCAGCTTAAATTGGGGTTTTTCATGGTGTTAATTAGCCGCAGCGGCGGTGTGGGCCAGATCGGCCCTCCCGCTCCCCTTCCGGTTCGGAGAGAGCTCAGTACCCTCCTCCCCGCCCCCGCTCGCCTCCAGCAGGCAGCTAGTTTTCCTGCAGCGCAACGGCTTTCCCCCTCTGCTCCCCCGCCCCTTTCCCTGCAGGTGCTTTGTCCCCCCGCTCTCTCCCCACCTTCCTGGGGTTGTTCCAGTTCCAGTTCCTCCGCCGTGGCCCGGAGCATCCCCGATGGAAAAAAACCAAAAAAGTGATTTTTACAGTTTTTACTGGAGGAATTCAAAGCTGTTTCTGTGAACTGTGACATGGCTGTAATGCTGTTGGCTTTTGCTATAATAATTAGAAATTGATGTTTCCAAGATTATTTGCAGCAATTAAAACTATAAGCTATTATCTATACCCATATATACTTCACATAAAATTACAATGGCTTTACCACACCCTCTTGGTAATTCCTTCTGCAAAATCATTCTGTTTTCATTTTAAGCATAAATTGTTTAAATTTTTAGCATCTTTGATATTAATAGTATCAAAATAACTTAAAACTTTTATAGATATTAAGCTTCAATAAGTTAAGTGTTGCTAAGATCAGGTAAAGTTAAGTTTCACTATGTTTAGGTCTAAGTACTCAAATTGTATTTTATCACTTTGGTATTCTGTTTAAATTAAGTTTATTATTTCTTTCTGTCAAAGTTCATTCATTTCAAATTTTAGTGTTATTTAATATAAATTATCCTAAGTTTTGTTAAAAGTCATTTGTCTAAACTACAAGATATGTAGTAATTTTCCTAGAGAGATAAGACAGCTTCAATTAAAACAGCTGAGCTGACACACTGATAAACACCTGTTTGTGAGTGGAAAAAGATGCAGTTCATTGCATCATCAATTTCACAGAAAGTTCTGTTCTTCATTACAGTCTCTGCTGGTTTTGTCTTCTATAGGTAATGCTGATAAATAGTGATTGTTTTTAACATTAAACTGTTCAAAGTTTTTGTTCTGTTTCATTGATTCACAAATGTTTAAAAAATGTCGTCTTAACTCCTTCAGACACTTGCTGTTGATAACATTGATTGTATAATGTGAATTTACTGATTTCTCTGATATGCTTTATTTATAAGGTCTTGTTATATTTTTAGCCAGCTCTCATCCGTTTTTACATCTCCTTGTGTGATCAACACCTAATGTCAGAACCCAGGACATCTCTCTGGATGCCCTGGATGTCTCAAAGCCCTTGGAGACCCTGGCAGAAAGCCAAAGACACCTGGGAATTTGATCTCAACTCATGGAGCAAATTACCAATGTTATATGAAGAATTACAAGTCACAAAAGTTTATGTAGCATAGTAGTAGCAATCACAGGGTGAAGGGGAAAATTTTGGAGCATGGTACAGGAGGGTTTGGAATTCTTTACATGGGGGTCAGGGGTTCCAAGATGGAGGGATTTGGGCATGCCCTGTCCTTCTTCTTTCTTCTCCCTGGCATCCATGTTCAGGATGATGTTGGCATTCACATTGGTTTAGAGTAGAAAGTCACTGTCTAACATAGGTGATAGGTATTGGAACATAATTGTAAACATAGTATACGTAGTTTTTAGTATAAAAGATAGTGCCAGCCCGAGAGGCAGAGGGTGTTCCTCGGACCAACCTGCAGAACAGACCTTGGCAGGCCAGACAGAAAATGTTTGAGATAAAGAAATAATAAACAACCTTGAGAATGACAACTGAAGACTTCTCAACTCCTTCTTCAGCTGCTGGGTTGGGGAAAAGAGACTTTTAACAGAGACACACCTCAGGATCTTCCCAACCAGACCAGAGGAGATCTGGAGAACCTACAAGACATATGTCATTTTTAGGATCCTTCTTTTTGTTCTGTGCTGACATCTTATACCTGCTATTATTAAAGACATGTTTTTAAAATGGTTTACGTAAGTCCCACCAAGCTTAAGCTGTGGCCAGACCTTGGCTCTACCTGGACGGGATGTGTGCCAACTGACCCAGGTGTTTTCTGCATCAAAATAATATTCAAGTCACTTTAGCTTGGCAGTTTGACCCTCTACACATGACAGCTGGACTTATTTTTAAAGTGAGCTTGGAGAATCATTATCTGAACATGATTATCCAATTCTCCACTGATTTGAACTTTATCAGCTGTTGCAGTCGCTGGGATAACGGTACAGTGTTTTAGTGCTTGATAATTATCTAATTTCACATGTGTTATTGATTGCATATATTATCTAATTAATTACTAATTGCCATCGGTTTCTTGTTCACCACACGCATTGTTTTGTTTTGATGTTTCTTCACGCTCATAACCAAAGACATACATGTCATTTTGAAAAAACAAAAAGAAGGGGAATTTCATGCCTTAAGAACACTCTAATAATGCAATATGTGCATTAGAAATTTGAAAAAAATATCATAAAATCTAAATCTTAATTGAATGTACCACAGCAAAGCCTCATTGATTCATTAACTTAAGGAGAATGTATGCTTGTGTTTTTTATCATCGACAGGTTCAAAGCAGTCACCTGTTCATTTGATCAGATACCGATTGCCTCTGAAAAAAATGAGGCCCAGTGAAAAGAGAAATAATCTAATCACCTTGCAGCCTTTGTGGCCAGAACAGGAACAGAAGCAGGACTACCAAGACATAGCTGTGTCTGGAAACTTAAAGAGGAAATATGCTGACAAAAGCCTCATGTCATCATAATGTTATAGTGTTTCTACTAACCTTCTTCAGCTATTCCCTGTTCCAGGATCAAGGAAGATATTCCGTGACATCAACGATGAACATTTCCAGCTGATAGACTTTCTCCTGAGTCTCAACTATTTGGACTTAAAACAATGGTCATTTATTTCCATTTCTCTAAGAGACATTGGACATTGTTATTTTGTTTTCTCACACTGTGAAACCCTCTATCAATGACATGGTAGAATTTGATAAGTTTTGTTGATTGTAATCTGGTTTTTATGTGTTTTATGCCATATCTAATAGATAACCAGTGATGACCGTAATGAAATAATACTCTCACAAGAACCAACTGTTTCAACATCAGAATGCATGGGCCTTTTTTAAATTAACAAAAACTGGGAGATGTTGCTGTCAGGTAGAAAAATTAGAAAAGAAAGGCCTCATAAAATCAGGCCTGCTCTGTTAGATCAATGGCTGGCCTGTCATTTCCTCTAAACAAAGCTAGTACTTTGCAAGTTCCCTTCTGCAAATAGTCCTGGTATGAATAGTCTGTTAACACAACAATCTATTCCTGGGTGAAAAATAACTAGCACCTGCATAAACATTAAATCTGTCCCATGAGAATCAGTGAAGAAAATATGTAAACAATTTAAGAATAGAGAGATTTGATGGACAAGTAAAATACCTCTTACTAACCAACAGAGTAATTGGCAAGAAAGCTACTAACCAATTGGAGTCACACACAAGGTCTGTAAAACTGTATAAAAATGAGTTATGTGAATAAAGAAGGGCTCTTCCTGCATGAACAAAATGGAGTCTCGCGTGTTTTGTTCCAATATTCTCTATTGACTTACATCACCAGTGATGGTTGGTACATATTAGTGTACTGCTGGTGAAATGACTGAGTCAATGGACACATTTAATTCTGCAGCCTCTGCCACACCAGGGACTATCTATGATTGTCTCTGATTGTGGGGTAGGTCTTACAGACGACATGCAGTTTTTTTTAAAAGTGCCACAAGCTGGTAGCTTCAGCACATAAATCAGAGTCCATAGATGAGTGGAGCTAAACATTACTTCAGTCGTATCAGGAAGTGTTGTTATGTTCACTCAATTATCCAATCACAAAATAAAAGGCCAAACAAAATTAAATGTAACAATAATTTTAATGAAATTTAAATGAAATAGTTGAAAATATATAAAATTGAATACATTCAATAAATTGGCAGTATAATTTGGTTATAATAAAATATAATCTGGTTCGGGTAATGACGCATAAGCAAAATTACCGCGGGGTACAGAGTACGAGGGCCTTGGGACCCCTGCCACCTCATGTACAAGTTTGCCAAGCCCAAAATTCCCCCCTTTATACTGTCTATTATCAGCATCCCCTCCTATTTTCGATTCATCACACTGGTGTCTCCACCCTGATCTCCATCTTCACTGCGCATGCGCCACCATCTTTTAGGGGGTCGCACCACTCTTTGGGGGTTGTCCAGATGAAGGCTGCTCCTCTTCCTCAGCTATCCTTTATTTCACCTTTGGGTTACTCATGCGCACCAAGCTAATATCATATATGCCAAAACCAAAATTATATAAGCCAATATAATAAATCTTGTAAATTAACATATTTCTGATTTCTACCCAAGTTTTCCTTCTTTCAGTTAATTTTAGCAAACTTTATCTGACTCCTTTTCCTGCCTCAAACATCTGCAGAAGATAAAGGGGGGGGGGCGGACCCTTCCCCTCCGCTTTCTTAGCTTTTTACCTTTTTAACCATTTTGTTATCTCCAAATATTGATTACTATATGCATATTGATTACTGTTTCAATTTTATCAGCATGAATCACACCTATTTATCACATGTCATGTCACAAAGGGCTCCTCAATGTCTCCTAAATACATCTCTTCTTTATGAATTTTCTTTCATAAGCCTCTTCTTCTCCACCCTCTCAGTTCCCACACTATTTATGGCTGAAACTTCTCCTTTTGCCGAAATGTTTCTCCTTACCATATAGGTTTGGCCTCTCAATGTCCATCTGCTTCTTCTGAGCTTCCAAAAAGGCTTGGATGTCAAATCCTTTTGCCACAGAAATGCCACTGAGGAAGCGAGAAGGGATTTTTTTGTGGACATCAGGTTCTTCTGCACCAAACCCCAAATTAAGCAGAATCTCCACTGGATCTTTTTTCCAGAATAACCGCCATTCAGTGATGCTGTGGTGAAAACATGCAGTAGCTATCATATGGTCTTGTTTTTAATAATTATATTCCCTTATTTTCCTCTCAATAGTGTGTGACTGTTGCTGAAGTGGAAGTAGTCACATTGCAGTTTGGGTCATGTTGCTAAAAGATTAATATATGTTCCTTTCCCCAGAAAAATCTGGTGGCATTACATCTAGATAGCTTAGCAAGTAGAACATTAATAAAACGTGTAGGTTCACAGCTCTGCAGGTTCCCTTTGCTCTAGACACAACACAGACAAGGCATGCTGCAGCTGCCATACGGTCTCACAGCATTTTACAGAGGATCCAAAGCCCACTGTAGCTTCAGGTAGGTTTTGATTTTTTTACAAATTCGCTTGAGAGCAGGTAACTATTATTGAGAAGATTACTTTAATCTTGTTTAAATAAACCAGTACATGGCTTTTACAAATTAAGACCTTATTAAAATTGTAATAAAAATTAATTTTCTTATTAAAAATTGTATTCACATTTGTCGATCTCTGGACAGACTAATAACTTGTATTCCTCTCTGGTAATATATGGATGTAACTAACCTTTGGGGTGGACCAGTGAGCGGGAGCATGTCGGAAAAACTGAGATTCTTGCAGCATGACATAACTGGACTTTCTGAAAACTCTAGCAGGGACCTATTTGGTAAAAAAGGAACCATGGAATGTATTTACTTACATACTCCTCTGGGATGTCATTATTATTTCTTCCTAGAGTAAACATTTGCATTTTGTCTTGGTTTTTTATGATACATAATAGCAATGTCTTAGAAGAGGAGTTGATCTGAGTGAGGCAATACGCTTCTCAAGAGCAGTATGTTACAGTAGGTGTGAGAATGTAGGTGTAAGGTACTATTTAATTATAAAGGTGGCACAGTGGCTCACTTTTGACAGATGGTGAATCTTTGGGAAACCTTTAGGGAATATGGTTTCTCTAGCCACCTACTTCAAAAGATATAATTGCTCATAACATAGTTTTGGAGACACAAGGCATAATGAGTTGTAGCAGCAGGAATGGCAGCTGAGAACTATTCTGTTCTTCATTTTATTGTGTCTGTGTTTGCTAATCTGTAGAGAAATAACTGCTGTTCAGAGCCTTCACATTGTAAAAGGAATATCCCACACCATGGTAGTCTTTGCCAATAGATTTTATCATGCCCAAAATGAACTTTACCTTACGCACACCTACTAAGATCAGTAGCAAATATTTATATAGAGTGAAAGCATTGCATTGATAATTTGGTTTTTTACCATTGCAGGTTATCCATCAGATCACGTACTAAACAGGCCTAGAGGGATATGCAGATTTTTGAATTAACACTGTTGATATAAGTTTGAGAGAAGAAAACGGCAAAGAAGAATTAAAAATAATTTATTTTTCTTACTTTTTTCCCCTCAAAACAGAAATCATCAAAGTAGAGCAAAGACCAAAAGACTGATTTAATGAAATAAGGAAACATTTTAGCCTGAGTGACAAAGTTCAAACAAACAATACCACTGTGGTAAACTCAAAGTGTAGTTTAGTCATAGAATAATGCAATACATGTCAATAGGAAAAAGAAAATAAGTACCTTTATATTTCATGAATCCACAGCAGTACACTCTAAGCCCCTGCATTTAAAAGTAGGCACTATGAATTGGGTTCCACCATGTGCTGCAGAACACTGAAGACATATAAAGAGCAAATTTGATTAAAATATATTTCAATCCCTGTTTTTTTTTTTTAAATAAAAAACCCACAATTGTAATATATTAATTTATATTCTCATTCCAACATATACAGGTATGATTTTTTTGGTACATAATAGTTTTTCAAGTATATTCAAAATTTTGTGAATATTTGTGAATATTGATTTCTCTGGGCTTAGCATCATATACTAAATATGCTTGAGAGTAGTGACAGATGCTGAATACTTGCAAGAGTTTCTGGAGGAGGAAATATGTGTCCAAGAACTTAAAACACTGTTTAGTGGACTCCAAGTGTGCCATACCTGTGAGCTGTAAGGTATATATATAATCATTTCAGGAGGATGAGATAGGAATAAATTAGATGAAAATATACAGTGCCTATAGTTGTAACTTCCTCTTCTAACACTGAAATAGCACACTTGGCTGATCAGAAAGCTAGGGTAACATTTGCCTATGAACAGCAGAAGATACCTGAATTACATAAGATAAATGTTATGGGCTTTTTTATCTATAAAAATAAATAGAGAAGAATAACTTTAAAAGTTTTCTCTTCTACTTAAAAAAAATTGTTTCAGTAAAGAAGGAGAAAACATCCTTTCAGAAAATTATTCTTCTGCTCGTAAATTCTTATATGAGTTTCTTCTAGCTTATTCAGTAAAAGGACACCCGTCCAAATTCAGAACATAAAGGTTACTGACATCCTGTAATTTGTGCAGTAACATAAAGCAGACTTTCTAGCAGCAAACTGAGCATGTTTTGAATTAGAATCAACTGCTAGTTGTATACTATTTCCTACTCATGTGCCAACAGAAGCTCTAAATTCACTATAAAATCCTATAAAAAAATAAGATTAGAAAGTGAGAATTAATACAATTTTCCCCCTAGCAGCACATACGTACTCCTCTCTGTAAGAGAACATTATACCACAAACTGACTGCTGATGTCTTTTCCTCAACATCTGACATTGCCAGGACTCAGCAAACACAAATGCTGCAAAATAAAAACCTAGCACTGTGAAACACTGGCTAGAATGTTAAGTAAAGAACATAATGACAATTTTAATGATGCTGTGTTTAGATACAATATAGGCAGTAGCAAGTCACCAAAAAATCAAATGGGCAGAACATGATAAGTTATCGCAAGTTGGGTAAGAGGCAGTAGCTGGTGTGGCTGTACTCTAAAATGAGGCAAACACAGGCTGTGACACCTTAACTAGCTTTTGTTGTAGGCCAAAGTAAGTTGTCTTGTATTTCTGTGAGGCAAGAGCATACCAATCTACTGCTACCAAGACTAAGACATCCAGTCTGTTAAGTGGTAGTAAACTGCTCAGGACCCCACATCCACCTCGTGACTTGGACAAAGTTTAAATCTCTGGGTAGGGCAACACAGGTCATTTCACTCATGGTCAGTCTCAAGCTTTTTTCCTAATGAGAAGACTCTCACGACAAGTTTCTCATTAGAGAGGTTGACATTTTTTAGAGTTTGTTTTCTCCATATTCAAGACATCACAGAAATTGTAAGGGGGAGGGCGCGGTATTTGTGTTTCCTGATCTATGTAAGTGTTTTGTTCCCAACAGTAGAAACACTTAATGTGAATGCCAGTACTGGAACATACTTTGGGGAAAATAATGCCCTTTAGAAATCTGTCAGAAAATGTAACAAACATAAACAAATTAAAAACGTTTTTTAGACCAACTGTGTTGCTAACTGGGACTCTTCACTGAACATCTAAGTATACCTTTGCCAACCAAAATGTGGCCTTATATACTTGAGGAAAGATAGGACATTTTAGCCTTACTAACAGGAGACAAGATTAAATCACAAACTGTTGAACCGCATCTTCTGTTCAATAAACAGAAAGTATAGAT